TTATAATTATATTAAAAAATGGCCGCGGCGGGCAAATATATAATAACCGTCGCAGCAAACAGTATACTTAGACACTTCCTACATTCAAATGACATTTGATTTAATCCTCAATATTAATTATTAGTATAATTAAATGTGATTTCGGATAAAATTTAATATGCACCTCGGCATTAAAGTCATATTTTATCACTCACGTGGATATTTGCCTCGGCTTTCGCCTCGGCAAATAATTTCCACATTCATGATAAAAAATACGAATTTACTGCCTTGATACAAAAATAACTATTACCTCATACAGCCATACGTAATGACGTAGTGAAATTATATTATAGTATATAACCCATTTGAATTTGAAATTATTTAAATATAATTATATCATACCATACTATAATAACCTATCATTGATAGCTAATTAGTTAATCGCCATATGTGTATTTTGACCTACGATGCAATTTATTGTTGTGTTATCAAGACAATAAAATTAATTTTAACTTACTTAAATTACCAAGTACGTGAATTTCGTAGTATACCGACGTAATGATGTTTTATTTGTTATTACACGTGTAAAATTTCTAAAATTATTAAGAAAGAGTTTAAGGACACACTGTGCTGTCAAGCACAAAAATTATATTAAACAGGGTTTCCTAATAATATAAGTAAAGAAAATACAAAATTGCATTCTACTATTATAATAATTATTATAAAAATAATGTACCTGAACATCTGAAATATTTATGTTTCAATTTTGTAGAGCTATGCATGCAAACATGTTTAGGTATAAATTTTGTTTTTTGTTTTTTAAAAATGATTTACACCAATCGAGTAAGGTTTTTTACATTTTAGAGAGTAAAAATGTAGTATTTTTAAACATTGGACCAATAAAAAAATCCTAAAAAAATTGATTTTTTAGTGTGATAAATCTAAATTTAAAATACTTTTTTTATTATTTTAACTTTAAACTACTATACATGGAGTAAACATAATTTAGGTACCCTTCTTGACTAAATATTTCCTATTTTTTATGTTGTTTTGTGTTTAAATTACACAATTAGGTACAAAAATAGTCTACTATGTATTCCAGAAGCCTTCTAAATTATTCTTACTTATTAACATGTGACCTTCTCACTAAAAATTGAATAAGAAGCAAACTTTGTTCACAAACCCTAATACATTAATTTAGCAAATATTTTTGGGAAATAGTTACCTACTTAACCTTATTCTGTTGATAATATGTCCTCAGAGAAGCTAAAAGTTATTATATTAAAAGATCTTAGCAGCTGGCCTAGGCCTTGAAAAGCCTAGGCCTAGGCCTTGAAAAGCTGTCTTAGAAGGCCTTGAATAGATGAAAATTTAAAATGTTTCCACATTGTCAAATAACTATGTCTCAAAAAATATATATTAAAATCGAACAACGCGTTCCAAAACAATGTTGTTGCGGTATTAAATCGCACACACTGTATACATTAGGGTGTTCATTATTTCCCAAGTTGGCTTTTTTCACTTAGGTATCATCTAAATTATTTGTTTACACTCTAAAAACAACTTTAAGAAAAAATGTATAACAGGCTATTAAATAGATATGCAACAATACACAGGTACACGCTTTACAAAAGGTCATTTACGGTTTTTTTGGTAAAACCATCCAATCATATTAAGGTCAATTTTAAAACAAATAAAAAAAATTCACTTTTTTTGCTTTTTTCACTTAGGCATTATCTAAATTATTTGTTTAGAATAAAAACAATTTTGGGAAAACAATGTCCATGATTTTGTGGTCCTTATTTGGGATATTTTTGATTTTTTTTCATGATAGTACTAATTCGGTTCCATAGTCGGTTCCAAATAAATAAAAAAAATTCTTGCCAAGTTTCAGCTCTTAAAATTATTATTAAACTCCCCCCCCCCAGCAATCAAAGTTTTCAATGGGAAACACTTTGAATTTTTATAACATTGATAATACCTGATAAAAACAAATAAAAATTTGGAAAAAACGTAGGTTACTATGATAATAATCCATAAAATAGTGTATTTAACAAAACAAAAATCTTCAAGATATACCTAATTTCTTTATAGATTTTCCAATATTTAAACTGGGCAGTCAAATTATAACCCTATATGGTTTAACTTTGGAAATAATCCCAAGTAATTTTTTTTGGAATATTGTTTTTAAAATGGTAATTGTGAGACATTTAAATGTCAAAAGTCTTCTAGCTTTGAAACTGGCCATTTTTTTAAAATGTGCCAAAGGTAACTTTTGATCAGTGGGCCATCTTCTACAACTTATGTAAAATTTAACCCAATCCACTGAGACCCAATTTTCATAGGATTAGGGTCTTAATATAGAACCATTTTTACCCAAATTTCCCTGAGAAACACAATTTATATTAACCAAAATTTACGTAAAATCAATAGTTTCTGAGATAATCAAGAAAAACTGTTTGTTGTCACTTTCGACCTTCAATATTTGGCAACGTCGCGGTCCGATTTCGCTTGGGACTTTTGAGAAATTATTTTCAGGAGGCATAAAAAAGCTACATAAACTTTTTCTTATTATAGGTATTAAAATGTAATTTAAACAAAGTAATGTTATACTTATCACTCTGTGAATTAAATATAAGAATATAAAATATTTAAATCTATATATGGGGCAAAATTTGCCAAGTGTACCAGGTGAAAAAAATTTTGTCACCGATTTTGTTTAAACTTTACTTATTTGTTGTTCTTATAACGAAGAATCATAGCATACATTTTTTTTGCTCTAGAATTGTTCATTCAAGAGTTATGGATTATTAAAATTTATCGATTTTTTACTTTTTGGTGAAATCGCTTTTTATTTAAAAATTCATAACTTCTGTTCATCTCTTTATTAAATATTTCAATTTAACCTCCTTAAATGATTTTTTCCGAACTTTTCAATGGGCTATACCGTTTTTGCAAAAAAATAAAAATTGCAATTTTTTTTTGAAATTTTGCAAAATTTTGCATTTTTTAAAACAATGTGTATTTTTTAATTTTTTTAAAAATAGCATAAAATCCAAGTTTATTATGTTACCTTTGAATAAAAAAAAAATTTAGAGTGGGCCCGACATGTAGAAGGGAAGTTTTTCATATTTGAATGCCGCACGGTCTAGCCATCGAATAGCTACTACACTGCCGTATGCGTTTATACCTAGTAGATGCGAGTAAACGAATACAAAATGATAATTTAAAATGTAAAATTATGTTTGAGTAGTCAATGATGTATTTTAAATATTTACACTGCCGCACGATATAGTTTTTTAACTGTATACAAAAATATATTTTTTTGCACAAATTGTTTAAGCATGGGTCTACATAGATTTCGCAAGGAGGATCGATGATATTAAATAAAACATTTATTGTTATAACCGTAACGGCTTACCTATAAGCTGAATGGCGCCTTTACGGTTATAACAATACATTTTTTATTTAACATCATCGACCCTCCTTGCGAAATCTATGTAGACCCATGCTTAAACAATTTGTGCAAAAATATACAGTTTATATACAAAAGTGCTCTTTTAGTTCCACCCTTACTTCTTAAGAAGTCCCATAAGCCAACTGAATGGCTTGTGCGGGTTAGGGGTAGGAACGGACCGCGGGCTTAAAGTCCCCTCCGAAGGACTATTACACAATAAAAAAAACTATATCCTGCGGCATTGTAAATATTTAAAATACATCATTGACTACTCAAACATAATTTTACATTTTAAATTATCATTTTGTATTCGTTTACTCGCATCTACTAGGTATAAACGCATACGGCAGTGTAGTAGCTATTCGATGGCTAGACCGTGCGGCATTCAAATATGAAAAACTTCCCTTTTACATGTCGGGCCCACTCTAATTTTTTTTTTATTCAAAGGTAACATAATAAACTTGGATTTTATGCTATTTTAAAAAAAATTAAAAAATACACATTGTTTTAAAAAATGCAAAATTTTGCAAAATTTCAAAAAAAAATTGCAATTTTTATTTTTTTGCAAAAACGGTATAGCCCATTGAAAAGTACGGAAAAAATCATTTAAGGTGGTTAAATTAAAATATTTTATAAAGAGATGAACAGAAGTTATGAATTTTTAAATAAAAAGCGATTTCACCAAAAAGTAAAAAATCGATAAATTTCAATAATCCATAACTCTTGAATGAACAATCCTAGAGCAAAAAAATTTTATGCTATGATTCTTGGTTATAAGAACAACAAATAAGTAAAGTTTAAACAAAATCGGTGACAAAAATTTTTTCACCTGGTACACTTGGCAAATTTTGCCCCATATAAATATTGATATAAGATATTTAAATCTAAATATAACATAAGTTATCATTTATTGATTGCATAAAATTTAATTTTTGCAAAGTAAAATTTTATGTAGGTAGGTACCTAAGTACCTACTAAAGGATTATAAATCATGGTGTATTTTAGTAATTGCAACCTTCAAGTATTTTTGATAAGATAATATAATATATCATTATAAATGCATTTACCTAACTATTAGTAACTATTTACATGGTTAAATTTAAAGTTTTATAAATGACCTGTAACAAGATCAATAATAATACTAAATTCTAATTCATTAATAAATATTTAAGTAGTTTTAAGTACCTAGTTGAGAGATAAATTATTTGCCCATGGCAACTTTATATATTTTTTTAATAACTTGAACATAAATAGTTAGTCTTATCCAGCTTTAAAATTAACATACCTAATGTAAAAAAAACATGTAGGTACATTTTATTTAATTTTGACGCCAGCATGTTAAATTATTTAATAGTTTATTAATTGTAGCTACATAAACTCCAAGAATTGATTAAAAAAAGCATGTTTTGGGCCTAACCACATAATATGTGGTATATTATACACCTTACTCTTCTACCTGATTATAACCAACATTTTACATAGTACCTATAGGTATACTTAGGTCTGTGGTACTAATAGCTATAAATTAAAAATTTGCCTGGATAACTAGATTATTCGTACTTACCTCGTTTAAGAAATTTGTAACATCATAAACATTGTTGTGTATAACAATCCAGGTGCTTTTGTTGTCGTTGTGTTTTTGGACCTCTGCAAGTGTGTATTCCGGCATTTTTGGAAATGTATTAGGATATTTTTTAGCACCAACAACTGTACACCAAGTCACACTGCAGTAAATTGTTTAAAGGAATAATTGTAAATACCCTTGATCTATGAACGATGACGTGCTTTAATGTTGTTTTCATTGGTTAAAAATTTACACCGGGGAAATTCTCTTTATTTAAAAAGTTTTTTTAAGTAAACAGCTTAAATAGGTATTGCAAAAATTATATAGAATGTATTGTAAATAACACTATTATAGTAGTAATTTTAATATTTGGTAATGTTTTATTTTATAAATAAAGCAGATTTTGTAATCGAGTTAAAAAATTTAGTTGTGTAAATCAGTCTTTATTTGCTTCTCCACATTGGGACAAACCGAGGGACAAACTAATTTTGGATATTCTTCAGGCATAATTTAAAATATAACACAGTTCATTTTTTTTTATCTGGACTCGTGTTTTTTTGTTAGGTTGGTGGCTTATGCCAGTTTAACTTAAGTTAATTAGTATTTAAAAATGGTACTAGAAGTATAAAAAATTCTGTCAAATTGACAATAATATTTATTATTGATAATTTACTTGTCAATTATAAATAAAAAGATAATTATGCCAAAAATAATGGCAACGAATTCGAATGTAAAAGCCCTTTTGAGGGCAAAACTTCATTTTGATGAAATTATGCCAAATGCCACAATGGAAGAACAAGTAGGTACATGTACTTGTACGATGCATCGCCTTATGGACATTTTTTGAGTAAAAAAGTAACGAATTTGGTTTTATAAATATTACATCACACATTATTTTCACATTATTCACCATTGGACAACATTTACGTTCACAAAAAATTTTAATTTCTTTTATATAAATTCTTTTCAAAGCGAAGATTATTATCCGCTAGGAATACTTTCTCTTCTGGGCCGTAAAGCAATCTATATTTAACTACTTTTTTATATGATTTTACTTATCCAAGCACCACCAAAGCCAAATTAATTGCATTTTTAACTACGAATTTCGACAACTCAACTTGACAACTGCACAATGTAACCTACAATAATTTATACATAACCACAATTAGATTTATAACTAGCTTAGTTTGTTTTAATCAATGCGACCAACCTGACAACTGTATTTACCAACCAAAACCCTAAATTTGCAACGTTGCCGCAGTCCAGATAAAAAAAATGAACTTTAGCTATTTTCGCGGAGCTAATCCCGAACTAATTCGGGACATCCTAGGCATGCGCTTTTTAAAATTTGGGGTTAAAAATGTAAAGTGCGCATGACAAATATTAAAATGCACATGCCCAAGATGTACGAACTAGTTCGGGATTAGCACCGCAAAAACTACTAATAATAATATTAATATATATAATATAATAATTTAAAATATACGAAAAAATTGAAGGCCCGAAAACAAATTTGTGTTAATTTATTCTTTTGTCCTAAACAAGAATTAATTACTAGGCATTCATACAGTATTAAATTTTACCATTTCCAATATTACTTACATATTATTTGATGTATTTTACAACACTAGCGAGTTCCATCCGCATTTTGGTCAATCCCCGAAAAAATCAATTAAGATATTGTTTTTTAATGTAAACCTACTGAATGATACTGCAAAAATATATTTTATATATTTTAATTCATATATCACCTTATTTAAGTTCCCAGTTATAATTGGGTAATTTTTAATTGTTCTTTTTTCCAAATTATCCAATGGTCCAGGAAAAAACAAAAAAATACCGCTTTAGTATATGTAATTATAATTGATGTCAAATAAAACTCTGATCTAGACTTACATAAGACTGTAATAAAAATAATAGTATAAACATTTTTATTTAAAATATAAAAGCTCTCTAAACTAACAAATTATTAAAAATACATAAATTATTTTTTATAGGTACAAGTTACAGGATTTAATGTTTATATGTTTGGAATTAAATTAATCTGAGTAATCCATTGTTTTAATGAACTCCACAGCCGAACTGAATTGAGTCCACCAGTAGTCTTCCTCTCCAAGAAGCTGATTACTGTAAAAACTATTTACAAACTGAACCGTGGATAACAAGGCCTTAGGGTTGACCTAAAAAATAAATAGGTACCCAATTGTTAATTCCGTTCAAGTTTTTATGAATACTTTTTAAGGATTAATTTGGATACATTATTTCATATATCAGCGCCGAGCTTGACACATTGACAAGCTGCGACACAGTATGGGTTTCAACACAGATTTGTAAAAGGTTTCGAGCTTTTTAGCTTCTGGCTGAAGACTAGAAAATTATAGTATCCCATATTACATTAATGAGCTACTCTGCAAAACGCAATTTTTTAAATAATTTAGGTATTCAGCAATAGGTGCAGATAGGGCACTTAACTTAGGCGCTTCAATCTAAACTACATTGACTAACAAAACTCGCTCCGATCAAATCGTGATATTTTTTGAATTAAAGTGTTCATTTCAAACCGCAGTTTTTAGTTGTCCGTTTCAAAACGCAGGTTTTCTAAAAATGACCTTGACAGGTCCCAATGATTGGGACCCAATCAGATTAAATAACCATCAATCAATCAAGCTTTAAATTAATACCTTCTTTCTATTTTTTCAAAGAGATACAGGAACAGCAAAATAAACAATATTTTGACAACAAACTGCGATTTTCATCGTAGCTTTTCAATATTAACGTTTTGATTTTTGACACAAACTGACAGAAAATACTTGTGTCCACCATTTCTTATTTGAATTATTACCATAACCGTTTCTTAATGTGTAATATTCAGTGCTGTAAGCCAGAAACGTATCTAGTTACAAGTAACTAGATACAATATCTAGATAGGTACTTTTAATGTGTAAATTCTCACAAAGTGTACATTATTTTTTTGACAGAATCTGGAAACCCTATAGCCTGTAACGTATCTAGTTACAAGTAACTAGATACAGTATTTAGATAGGTACTTTTAATGTGTAAATTCTCACAAAGTGTACATTATTTTTTTGACAGAATCTGGCAACCCTATAGCCTGTAACGTATCTAGTTACAAGTAACTAGATACAGTATTTAGATAGGTACTTTTAATGTGTAAATTCTCACAAAGTGTACATTATTTTTTTGACAGAATCTGGCAACCCTATAGCCTGTAACGTATCTAGTTACAAGTAACTAGATACAGTATTTAGATAGGTACTTTTAATGTGTAAATTCTCACAAAGTGTACATTATTTTTTTGACAGAATCTGGCAACGCTTTAGCCTGTAACGTATCTAGTTACAGTAACTAGATACAGTATTTAGATAGGTACTTTAAATGTGTAAATTCTCACAAAGTGTACATTATTTTTTTGACAGAATCTGACAACCCTATAGCCTGTAACGTATCTAGTTACAAGTAACTAGAAACAGTATTTAGATAGGTACTTTTAATGTGTAAATTCTCACAAAGTGTACATTATTTATTTGACAGAATCTGGCAACCCTATAGCCTGTAACATATCTAGTTACAAGTAACTAGATACAGTATCTAGATAGGTACTTTTAATGTGTGAATATAATCATAATATTATGATTATGATAATTATTCCTTTTATTTTAATTGAGTAAAAATATTCTACTGGGTTTTTTCCCCAATTTTTCCGACACTTTAAAACTTTTACATATACGTTAAAGAAGTATCGGGTTTTCGCAACGCGCGCGCCATCTGGTGGACTTTGAATGCATTGCGTGAATTTAAGAATTGTTAAAAATAAATTAAAAAAACCGATTATACATCATTTTTAAATAAATAGGTAGTTTTTTTTACAAAAGAGAGGAAGGCAGAAGTCTTACTCGACAAATTTTGTTCAATTGAACAGCTAAAAAATTAAAAATACTTTTGTATTACTCGATTTTGATTGATTATTCCTTATATCTTTGATTAAGAAACTCAACGCTTAAATGCTTATATAGTTACGTTAGTGTGTGTATTTTATCAAAGGGATCATGGTAAATTATTGTGTTTATAAATGTAAATAAAATTAAAGAACTAAATCGTTGCATTTTCATGTTTTGCCAAAGGATCCAATTCGGTAAGTACATTTGTTGGTGCAGAATTAACTAATGATAACTTTACCTAATATAATTTATATTTAAGTTTGGAAATTTTTAAGAAATTAATACAAAATAATTTTTGCACAAACATAACCTTAAAATCAATCATTTTTATATTTTAGTTCTCTAAAAAACGCCGACAACTGCATTTTAAACAACAAAATATACCTACGAATTCATGGCAACATATATAGGTAATACATAATATAATGGTATTTTACCGTTGAGTGGAGACTTTAAAGAATTCTTAATCAACGCTTTTAATAATGCTAAATGCTGTTTAAATTTAGACGACTTAATTGTTTGACGATTTTTACTGAATAGAAATGTTTACACTATTCACATTAATCACTACTAAAATGTGTATTTATTGTATCTTATAATTATTAAAAATTAATATAAATTGTACTTATAAGTAAAATTTATATTTACAGAGACTGTATGCAATTTATTTCTTCATTCAGATTAACACTGTTTTTTGGAAAACCGGTAAAAACTCAACTCAGGATTTCCTCTCGAAATACACCCAAAACACAACAAATCGATCTACTTTTGTTACGATGATAACAGCCGAGTGGTGGCGCTACTAGCGATACTTCTTTAGCGTATTATGTACCTTATGAACTAATACATATTATGTCTTAGATACATATTATGAACTAATAATTTTTTTACATTTCTAAAAAGACTTTTTTATCGTAAATCGACTGCCTATTTTAAAAAATTTGATTTTTTTTTAGATCATTGGCGTAAACAAATTATGACGTAAGCATTTTATCGTAATTCAACAAACGTCGATAAAAATACAACCTTTTGATGATTTATTTGTGTGGGTCCTTAATTTTAAGTACCCAATCTAAAAAACAAACACATTGTGCAAAATAGTTTACCTTAATAATAACATACACCAAAACAGGCGTGAAATCATCAGCGGTGGCCGAACCGGCATTTTGAGAAAAGGAAAGTAGATCCATGATGCATTTCGCGCAATGCAAGATGCAATTAACTATGTCTCTGGGGGTTCTAGTAGCATTCAAAGCTTTCAGCGCGTCCTGCGCTGGTTGCCAGGGATATTCCCTTAAATACTCCTTGGATATCATCAAGTCTTTGTGTTCTGGAGAAATAGTTCTCGATAATTTTTTGATGTGTTCATACAGTAGACTAAAAAAAGTGTATTAATTTTTGTTGTTGTCGTTCTAAAAACTGTGTTTTTGTATACCTGTCCCTATCTCGGTCACCATCCCCATTAGGATAAATAGAATGAGTATAAACCTTGTTCATAATAGATCTCTCTAAAATACTTTTGATCAATGCTTCTTTATGTTTTAAAATATCTGAAAAAAATATCATTCAAAACCAAAATAAACGTTTTTTAATTTATATTTACCACCCCAGTTGCTCTCCTCCATAATACTATACAATCTATCATAAAATTGATGTAGGAGGTCATACTTTTCATCAGCCAACGTTAATTGTACGAATTCTTCGCAAAAAGACAAAATCAAGTCTTCTTTTTGACGCAAAAAATCATTCACGCATCTATTACCTAAGTATCTTTCACATTCCGCCCTTTCATTTGAGATTTGTTCCATTAGACTGAAAATATAGAAAATTGGACCTAAACATCACAATTTTTAGAACAATTTATATTAAATTGGATTTTTTACGTAAATTTACTAATAATTGTTTAAAATATAGTAAATAATGAATGATTAGGTAGATGAAGGTCTAAACATAAAATTTCCTTTAGGCACAAATTAAAACCAAGATTTATTACAATATAAAAAAAACATATTGATTTAGTCACAAAACAAAAACCTTACTAACCTATTTAAATATTTATCGCAGAAAAGCAGCTCTTGAGTAGAAGCCACTAAATAGTTGACATAATTGCTGCGTTGCAAAACATCCTGTCGCATGGACTCCAATAATTTGACGCACGTTTCGTTATCCAGAGTGGAAACGCACCTAATGGCTTCGGAAATTCTCGCTGCGTTCGAGTATTCCCGTAAAGTCCGCGCTTTGCCAAGCTCGATTTTCAAAATCGTGTCGATTTTGCCTTTTGCGGATATCCAAGAGTTCTAAAATATTACATGGTTATAGACTTATTCACAAAGTACAACCAAAAGTTATAACAGAGAGTCTAGCAAACTTTCCAAATAGTATTTCCTGACTTATAAAACTAATAGTAACGTATTGTAGTGCGTTTTTATTACAGGAATATATAGCCAGAAGGAGGAGTAAGTGAGTTATAGGCATGAGGGAAAAAGCTAGAAATTTAAAGAGAAAAATATAGCCGTCCATGTTCCACTTTATATTGCCATCTGTCTTAAAAAGGTCTTCATAAAAATACGAACATAACCAAATTGACATTGAATGTCGTTGACATTTTTACTTATAAAACCATTAAAATCGTATTTTAGTATAAAGTTCTTAAAATTATATTATGTAAAATTTGCGCCTCTTGTATAACGTACGATTAAATTGATTGTCGGAGTTATATAACCTAAAAACAGATGTTGGAATTTCCATCTTGGAAATACAATGTGTCTGAAAATGTGTATGAAAGGCATCGAAAATCATATTAATATATACCTATCTTAATGATATAATACATAAAATAAAATTATAATTAAAGCTTATTATATACATAATTTAGTACAATAATTAAGTATTATTACTGCAATAAAAAATATATTATAAAAAAATCTTGTTATTTATTTGTGCTTTGAATTGTTTTTTTCAACAATTAACATTGATATTATATCTACTCTAATTTAGAGTCTCTAATTCTGTTCTACATTAAAGTATTAACTATGGTTTCGCGTAAAAATCGAACAAATTTTGGACATTTGTTTGCAAGTGATGCCAGAATTGAATATATTTTTTTAACCTTGTTTTTACATCTAAATGGAGCATTTTTTTCAAAAAAAATTTTGTATCCATTGACCACCGTGGGTTTTAGGCCTTAAGTCACTCTACTGTGTTAAAAATAGATAAATTTCGATATTTTGTAATAACATTTTTATTTAAAAACGTATCGATTTTAAATTAAGATAAAATGTAGACCTTATTAGTGGCAATAAATCCACGTATAAGTTTTTTAGATTTTACCATACAGGGGGCGCTGGGGACAATTTAATTTAAAATTTTACCATTATTTAAGGGTTAAAAAGTCGAAGAAGCAACGTTGTTTTATAATTTTGAGTATATCACGTTAAAGTACTGATAATTAACTATTATTTGATATATAAACTTTTATATGCAAATATGACATACGTCATTTTTAAGTTGGGCCTTCAAAGGGCATAATACTAACGTGTTTTACAAAGTATATATTCTTTTATCTAGTTTTATAAGATTATGTATTGTATATTACATATTATACATTATATATTACATATAATATATTATATATAACATACAATTCTTACAAATTTATTTTAAAAAGTCGCCATAGATGGAGCTAAAATTACTTTTATTTATAAATTTTAAATTTTTTCAACTTTACTAATTTTGAATAGTATGCATCGTAGACTTTTCTCTATGGTAACCTACAATTGTAGCATGAAATATAATTTGACAGTTCAGTTTATAAGTTGCAAATGACTTTCAATTTATAAGTGTACTATAAACTCAAAACATTAATTTTTTTTTAATTAATAAACTAAATAATAATTATAGACAGTGTCAGCAAGTTAGACATAATATCCTACTTATATCTACTTTAATTTTATTTTTTGCTGCACAACCAAGCTTCAATTTATTTTTTACTCGATAAGCAAGCTTTAATTTTCATTTCAAACTGAGGAAAGTAATATTTACCCAATAAATAAATTAGAATAAAGACTTTGTTTTTTATGTTGCAATTGGCTATTTATTGTATATTTTTTATATTAAGTTTTGCTTTTGCGTTTTTTTATATTTATTATAATGCCATACAGGGTGTTTCTGAAGAAACGCAAACGATATAGATTTGATATTTTAATAGCATATACAATTTGATATAGACTATACCATTATTAATAGTTTTCAAGATATTATTTTTTTTTTGTTAAAATTTTGCTAAATGCACGTTAATCAAAAATAGCATATAATTTTTTTGTTATTAGGTTTGCTGACATGGGGTTAGAATTTTTGAAATATTAAAACATTGTTTAAATAATTTTTTAAAGCTTTTTCAACAAATAGCTTAAGAAAAAACACTTGAAATTAGGCAAAGTTCAAACAATAATAACGTTTTTATTATAAATGTAAAACCCTGTATGTTTAAAAAAAATTTAAAAAATCTTTCGATTGCTATTATAATAACTGTTTCTCAAAGTTAAAATTTCAGAGACATTTAACAATTTCTAATATTTTTAATACTATTTTGTATCAACAAACCTGTGAAATTATACATGTGGGTTAATGTGATAGTATTCATGGTTACCACCAAATCCATTGTTTAAAATTAATTAAAATATTTGATTGAAAAATTAGTAACTCGAGAAATATTGACTTTGGGTACCTATAGGATATCGTATAGCCATTTTATTAAGAATTTTATGTAGAAATAAAAAATGTAAAAATGGATGAGGTTTACTGTTTACAATAACAAAGTTAAAGACATTTCCGGTAAAACAGGAAGTACTATTTTGTTCAAAATAATTTAGAAAAATAGACTTAAATGGATTATAAACTCTTTTAAAATTTCAAATAGATTTTTTTCCCGTTCCCTAGAAACTTATAATGGACCACGAATGTGGAACACCCTGTATATAAAATAATTACGTATATTAGTGGCACACTAAAGTCTAAATCGAATAATTTACGCTATTAAAATTTTAAACCGATGACTTTCGCGATTCCCCAGAAACTTCTAACGGATTACTTACGTGAAACACCCTGTATATTAAACTCATTTATATGTTATGCTATACTTATTTATTAATAAAAGATACAACAATATTAGTATAAAAATGACAAAATGTACCAAATTAAACATTTATGAATACTGCTACTGCTAATTAAAAACTGATCCTGGCCACAGAAACATCATTTGCATAAAAAAGTTAATATATTAAATAATAGTCAAATATCAATACTTTAACGTGTTATACTCAAATTTATAAAACAATGTTGCTTCTTCGATTATTTACCCTTTAAAAATTGTTAAATTTTAAATTAAATTATCACCAGCGCCCCCTGTACGTTACAATCTAAACAAAATTTTTAAATAGAAGAATTGTCATTAGTAAGATCTACATTTTGTCCAAATTTCAAATCGATACGTTTAAAAATAAAAAAGTTATTTAAAAAAATAAAATTTCTTCATTTTTAACACAATGAAGAAAAAAATAAATATAAAAACAAAGTTGTCAATGGAGGAGATTTTTTTTTTGAAAAAAGTACTGCATTTACATGTAGAAATATGGTAAAAAAGTTTGAATCGATTTCTTGAACCCTTGCAAATCGACCGTTCGATCCTTTCGCGAAACCGTAGTTAAAGTATTAAAGTAGTTATTGGTTAAAAGCTTAATTTCCTATGAAATTGATGTTTTTTGATGTTAACCTGTAAATATAATGTAATGAAAAAATAAATAAATATTTGTATGAAATTAAGTCTTCTGCAAAAAAGTATAAAATTAATATTTAGTCATGAAAATTTAAAATTTTAACAACAGTCAGGTTCCAGCACTTGACAAGGCATGACGCAATGTAGCAGCGAGAGATCTTAAAACGTAAAAGTTTAAAGTTTAAAACCAACAAATAATTTTTTAAAAGTGCAAACCAATTATAGTGAAACAAACAATTTTCATAAAGTGCAAACTAAAATAGTGTAACGGTCAATAAAGAGTGAAGTGTTAAGTGATAAGAAAAAGTTAAGTGACAAGTTTCAGCTTCTGGTGCTATAGGTATACCACCTGTCATTGGACGCTTTTCACTAGACAAACAAAAGAGGTCAAACAAGAGGGGAAGTGGCCATCCGCAAAAAAATTGATAAGTATCCTTAAGCATATGCATGACCTAACACATAATTTGCAAATTAAACACGACAGATATCTTTAAAACCCTAAGAAAAGCTTAAACTCTAGAAAAAAAACAATAAACATCAGTAACAATAGAAACATTAGAAAGACAATACTAACCAAATACCATAAAATAATAAAGAAAAATGACAAACAACAAAAAAACAAAACTTCCCATTCGAACTATCGCGGTGATACACCAAAGCTGTGTAGGACAATAAATCTGTCAACAACAAATGCGTAAGGCAATAATAAACATTTTACACACAGAATATAAACTCAATAAATCATTAAAACACTAACATAGTAAAAACAGCATACTAATCAAACTCTATTGGATTTGTAAACACATTAGATTATAACAGAATAATTGCGCTTGTCATTTGTTTAACTAATAAATAAATGCAATACTTAATTTTGGAATTTAAGAAAAAAAGAGAAAACTCTACCACAAAACGTGCTTGGACAACACAATAAAAAATTGTTAAAAATTTCGCACAACTGCGGCAATAAAGAATTTAAAAAAACATCAAGCTACAAGTTACATATCCAGCTACTAAACTATCTATTGATGGTTTCCGGCCTCAAGACTGAAGACACATGTGCAGGAACAATCCTACTTGGACACGAACAATAACGACAAAAACTTAGAACAAGACGTAGGCTCCTGCAGTAAAATAACAACTCCCGAACTCCATACAGTAATCCCAAATGTTTGGAGTAATACTAACTGCCTGCTCTAGGGGGGTTTCGCGTCGTACTTAAATTTAAGTCGGCGTAATTGTCCCCCAAACACCAAATTGTCTATCCCTCCAGTCCTACCTCCTTCATTACCCTACTGGGGGTATAGCATCGGCTCGGCGAACCCGGGAATGGCTACTAAAACTATTGGCTTTTCGCTCTCGAGCCCTAATTAGGAGACAGTATGAGACGCAATGGACATTCGCAACCATCAAACACGGGTGAAGCCGCGCCGTTGCTGGTGGCGATAGAAAATCGGCGCAAGGAAACAGAGGCCTATGCGGGGCCCGGGAGCGATGAGGCAATGGGGCCGGTTATACGTCTCTTAT